CCAGGCGGGCGGGGCCGTGGCCTGGCTCCGGGCGGGGGCCCTACAGCTCGTCGGAGCGGATGACGTGGAAGAGGGTGACGTTGTAGAGGACCTGGTGGCCGTTGTTCCAGGCGTAGAGCGCGCGGTCCTTGGGGTTGTAGTCCAGCATGGAGATGTGCGAGTACTTGTTCTGGAAGGGGATGTCGATGTACTCGTAGGTGGAGGCGTTGGTCTGGTAGGCGTAGTGCACCTTGGTGCCGCCCGAGTAGCCGTTGGTGACGTAGAGCGTGCCGCAGATGATGAAGGCCTCGCCGGCGCTGCGCTTGGGGTAGCTCGTGTTCCAGGTGCGCAGCACCTGCAGCGACACGGGGTCCAGCTTGCTGACCACGATGTTGCCGGCGTTCTGGTTGGTGGCGTAGACGGCCCAGAGCCCGCTCTCGTCCACCATCAGGTCGATGTCCGAGTGGCCGCCCCAGGCGTAGTGGTACATGTTGTTGTAGCCGGCGTAGTCCAGGCTGCGCTGCTTGAGGATGCTCTCGGTGCGCAGGTCGAAGCGGATCACGATGTGGCTCTGGAACTTGTTGAAGTAGATGGAGCCGTTGTAGACCACCTGGCCCGTGCCCGACCAGGGGTGGGGCAGCCGGTGCGACGTGAAGTTGTCCGTGGTCATGAAGTCCTGCAGCGACCGGTACTCGCGCACGAAGCGGTTGTTGTGGTAGCCGTCCATGTACCACACCTGCGGGCAGAGCAGACAGGGTGAGCGGTGCCGGGAGCCGGGGGCTCCGCCCCAGGCAGCGCCTCTCCCACGAGAGGAGCCGGGAGGGGAAGATGAAAAGGGAAGGATGCCACGGCCCCCCCCACACCCTCAGGGCACACCCTTTCTTTTGTTTTTGGTTCATCCTCACCTGAGGATGTTTTCCACTGATTGTTAGAGAGAGTGGAAATGAGGGGGAGCCCTGGCTAGTGTGGCTCAGTGGATAGAGCGTCAGCCTTTGGACCAAAGGGTTGGGGGTTCGATTCCGGTCAAGGGCACAGACCTCGGTTGCAGACTCCTCCCGGCCCAGGCCCTGGTTGGGGCGAGTGCAGGAGGCAACCCATCGATGTGTTTCTCTCACATTGATGTTTCTCTGTCTTTCCCTCTCTCTCCTGCTCTCTCTAACAATCAACGGGAAAATACCCTCGGGTCTCGGGTGAGGATTTTAAAAACGAAGGAAGGGAGAGGGAGACAGGATAGGAGCCTCCTGCACCAGCCCCGACCAGGGCCAGGGCTCAAGCCCGCAACCGAGGTACGTGCCCTTGACCGGGATCAAACCCGGGACCCTTCAGTCCACGGGCCGACGCTCTATCCACTGAGCCAAACCGGCCAGAGCAGGGGTGGGCAAACTTTTTGACTCGAGGGCCACAATGGGTTCTTAAACTGGACCGGAGGGCCGGAACAAAAGCATGGATGGAGTGTTTGTGTGAACTAATATAAATTCAAAGTAAACATCATTACATAAAAGGGTACGGTCTTTTTTTTTTTTAGTTTTATTCATTTCAAACGGGCCGGATCCGGCCCTGCCCGCGGGCCGTAGTTTGCCCACGGCTGGGGTAGGCGCTGGGCGAGAGGCGCACTTGCAGCGCCAGTGTTGTTGGTTCCGCCCAGATCC